ACCTGATAATTTTGTTTTCACCATTGCAAACCAAATTTTGCCGTCTTCTTCAATAACTTTGTTTTCACTTGGTGAAAATCAGATTTTCCCTTCTTCTCCATAGATTCATCCTTAATTCCACAACTTTGATTTTCCTATTATACCAACAAAAATCAAAAATTGAAGGAAATTTTGAGCAACTTGAAGGAAATTCCTTCCGAGAATCACTACAAATATACATATAGTTATTTTAGTATTTATAAAAATAAGTGACAAACTGCAAATGAAAAAAAAACTCTAGTTGTATGTTCTTTCATAATTGTACTCATCGTAGGATTTTGTTTTCGAATCTTGCCAATGCTAACAAGTCTTTTCATTGTAGGTTGTCATTTTTCCTGTACTTTTCTTCTGTCACTCTTCTTCTCTAATATATATAGGCTATAAGTTGATCCATTTTTGTATTAATCTTTCTACCAAACTTTTGTTTCACATGTACAAAATACATGAAATTGCAAAAGCAATAACAATGATAAAAAAAACTAATCCACCATAAGTAGGAGTTGATTCTCTGTCATTGTTGTGACTTAACAACATGGCTACATTGCTTTCAAGAATCGACTAAGCTTGTAATGGAATAAAGAATAAAATTTTGACTATAGGGTTTGATTGAAGAAGAAAGGGAAGAAAAAATAGAAGTGATTTGATAAAGAATTTGGAGGGACAAGAAAAACTGAGTTTTGGGGAAAACTTTCTCACGGTGCAAAAATAAATCCCGTTAAAAAATCAAATGGAAGTTTGAAAGAATACTAAATATGTACCAATTCTTTAAACATGAAGGACTATTAGTGCTCCATGCTAAAAGATAGGGACTACTTTGATTCTTAACTCAAACATAAAGGATGATTTTGATCCTTTACTCTTAAAAGTTCACATCAGGTTTTTCTAAGAGAAACATAATGAGAAGTTAACCACAGAAGAAAAGGAAAAACATAATGAGAGCCAAGCTAAACGCATTTATAAATGGCAAATTTGTGTAAGCAAGGGTCCTTAACAAAACTTCTAAAATAATATCCCAACAAAACTTAACTTAGTATAAAGATGATTGTAGCTGAATACTCAAAATCCAAACACAACAAGAAGGAAAACAGTAACACAAAACTAATATCTTAGGCCTTGTCAGCTTTGGCAGCAGAAGCAGCAGCTTGACCACGAAGACGACCAGTCCTCCTTGCTGCAATAAGACCAACCTTTTGCCCAGGTGGTGCATCACGACGGACAGTACTGGCATGACCAATATGTTGATGGTTACCACCACCATGAGGATGCTCCACAGGATTCATAGCAACACCACGAACCTTAGGCCAGCAGTTCCTCTTAACCCGGTATTTGTGGTATGCATTACCAGCTTTAAGCATTGGTTTCTCAGTTCTTCCTCCACCAGCAACCTGACCAATCATGGCTCGACATCCACTGGGCACAATCTTCTTGGATCCAGATGGAAGCTTAATCCTAATAAAAGGTAAAATTGAATAGAGCAAACTTCAAAAATCAACTCCATACACTTGATAACAATAATATAACATCATAACAGACTACTACTAATACACGAACACTCATACTTCCAAAAGAAGTATAGACTTTGTTTCATGTGAAATGCATTTCAGTATATCCAGACTTTCTTCACTACTTCGAACGAAACAGATTACTATATATTCTTCTTATGCAAATTGAAATAACATTTAAGTATCAAAAACGTCGTTAACCTGAATTCCCTACGTCTAATCAATCATCACCACACCAAAACTATCCCATAACATCAGCGTAAGATAATGGACATACTCTACCACTCTAAACAGCTAATAAGCTCTAAATTATCAGTAAATCTGCTTCATCAAATACAAATACACACAGTTACAATTGTAATTCACAAAAAACAGATTCTACGGATCCACAGACGAAAGATCAGTGCACAATTGCTTGAAATTGAGCAAACTTTACCAGTCATCCTAAGCTGTCATAAACGATACCGGTGCAATTTTCAAATCAACTACGCTGTTCAAGCCAATTCACTAAAATACTAAATCAATCCTAAAATTATACATCCAATAGTGAATTTCATCATAAATTCCTTTCTAAGTATCCAATAACCAAAATACAAATAAAATTTAGGTTAAAAAAACCATAAACAGGTAAAAACAACATACCTAGTTGTTCCGTTATCAGGGTTATGACTGATAACGATAGCATAATCACCAGAGCATCTAGCAAAAACACCACGGTCACCAACTTTATGCTCAACATTACAAACAACAGCTCCTTCAGGGATAGATCTGAGTGCAAGCACATTACCAACCATAAGATTAGCTTTTTTCCCACAGTAAATAAATTGACCAGTATACATCCCTTCTGCAGCAACGAACAACTCCTTCTGATGCTTGTAACGGAAAGGATGACGGAATGTCATCCGTGCCAATGGTGCACCCCTACCTGGATCATGAATGATTTCTGTAACAACACCTTTGAGATAACCATTACGTTCACCGAAATCAAGTGAACGGAACCTTGCAGGTCCCTTGCGGTGATGAGTGTGAGATTTGAAGACGGAGCCTGCTCCCTTACGTTGTGCTCTGATTACACGACCCATTTCGGCGCCTTCTCTCTGAGGTTTGCGAATAGAGGAAGAAATGGATTAAAGAAGAAAGGGAGTTAGGGTTTTTAGAGGGAGGAGGGCCGTAATAAGTTTATGGGCTGGGCCTCTAGTATTCGTAGCAAGGACCCAATACGCAATTTGACAACAAATTGCTCCACAACAAATTATGCTAAGTAGCCATTCAGCATTCGCCTTTTTATTTACTTTTTTTATTTTACTAAATTTTAGGATTGTTTAGAGGTGATTATGAGTTGATCGAGATTGAATTCTGTCACGACCCAATTCATCGAGCTGTGTGGGAACCTACTCTACCATCTAGATAGGAGAATCATCAACCTTCGAACCGGTTATAACATGCAAAAAAATAAACAAGTCATAAACAATTGTCATAAATTATTTTAAACCTCTAAAGTTATTTTACAAGGAAACGTACTAATACTCCTAGGGAACTAGTTTAAGCAGGTACGATAGCTTCTAAGAATAGAGTTAATAAAATAAATGAGACATAGCTCCCACCACAAGGAAAGAGTAGTAGAAGTTGTCAGAGAATATCATTGTCTTCACTTATGAAACATTACTAAATTCGTGCAACCAGACTATACTAAGTGGCATAGCAAAAGTAATATTAGTACAAACAACACGTTGTGATAGACATCATCGATCGACCCGAACCTACTACATAATATAAATTAGACAGTCAAAAAGGAATATGCAATATGAAAGTTGCACCATTTCAAGTCTCTATCCACCTGTTTTTACCATCCAGGTATAATGCTCATAAATTAGTACACTTTGATCACATCCTTCTATCTCATTCCGCTGCCAACTCTACCATTAACATATTTGGCCCTTATGTCACCCTAAGGCTTCACAAGCCTTTGACATCACCCTAAGTCTTTTCAAGCCTACCTGTTGGTTTGACTCGGATACCACATTAGTACACTAATTATGAATAGCTCAGGTACCATGCATGTACACTAATTATGGATGGTTCGGATACCACGCTGGTACACTAACAATTTGGTTCCGTGAGAGGACCAAGTATGTGATTGTGATTCCATAAGAGAACCTGATATTTGCATTTGTGATCATGTTTGACATGCATCTAATTACTGTTGTTTCATGGCATGTGACTAAGAGTCTATGTAGTTTGATACTTGTTGTTATATGCATTGTTCTATGTTACAACATTGTAGTGAACTACTTACATTTGTATCTTTGACTGGCCGTGTGATCCTACCAGCACACTGTGATTTGTGTATTAATATTACACATATTTTTTTCCCTTATTTAGTACATGACATCTTTCGGCGTCTGATTTGAGACCTCAAATAAGAGACACTTCATTCCAAATTCAAGGGTGAACTACATCTTCCAGGCTACCATGGATTCCTCTGATTTTCTTGTCCATCTTTTTAGACACATACATTAGACTTTATCTTTATGTTTAGTATTTGGAGTTGCATCCCCAATTTGAATGTTTAGAGTTTTGGTATGATGACATTCAGTTTTTAGGAGTTGTTTTTTGCATTAAATGTTTTTGCACTATTGGATTGAGTTTATGGAGACTCAATCTTTTGGTTGTCTAAACTGTTTATTTTTTATATATGATAAACTTGATTTTGTTTAAATGGTGTTAAATTGATTTGGATTAGTTTTTGATTTTTCTACCAGATAATTTAGTGTGGGTGTCACTCACGACGATCAGAATTGTGACGATAAATATCCTTTTACTTCAGCAAATAACCATGAAAGAAAATGTTTCTCCGTCTTCCTCATCTCATTCTTTTCTTTCTCCTTTAGTTTTTTTTTTATCATAACTTGTTGATGTTAATTACTTTGCTTATTCATGTATTCTCTATTTAATTAGAGAAGATTTGTTTAAATCTGAAAAAATATTTCACGTCGTTCAAACAGTTTCTTAGAATAGTATTCATCATGACTCAAGTATTATTTGTGTACTATTTAAAATATTATTGTAGTACTCCATCTATCTAATTTTCAGTACTATATTTTGTTATATAATAAATTATATTATTATTGTAATTTTTCATTGTTTTCCAGTATAAGTTTATCTACAAAATGTTTTCAATCTTTACAAGAAAAGTTTACAGTGTTTTCACTACAATTGCGCTGTGGGGGTGTACTACAGGAATATTCTAAATAATACATATTATTTGAATTCAAGTTTGATATATATATATATATCAAATAGGAATTACATTATAAAAAATAAAGAATTTTGCAATAATAACAAAAATATAAATATTTGTAATTATCACTCTATATGAATAATGTTAAAGGCTTTGATGAGTCTGAACACAATAAATAAATAAGTAAAAATTCAATCTCACAATAGAAGTTTTTATTATTTTTGTCAAAGGGACCTCCTTGTCACCGGATTTGATATACATGGAAAATCTTTTACATAATAGAATAGAGAATTTGATTGTCAACAATCAAAGTTTTACATAACTTTTCTTGGAATAGATAAACACAAGTCTAGTGAACATAAGTTACGTTTTTGAACGTATTTTGGACTGGCATGGTATGAATTTCATCTATCAAATATCTGTATTTCCGATCAAAATACCAATCAGCAAATGCTATTGGGGCAAGCTGCACAAACAAAAACAATATAGTTAGCAAACATCATTTTTAAATTGCACTTCCAAACATAAATAAATAAATATATTATATATAAAATAAATAAATAAATAATATCTTACCACATTATTGATTTCAAGGGCCACTTCAAAAGACCACCTGCCCATAAGGCTAGTATGATGATGCATTGCGTCTATAAAAACTCCTCTATGTTTAGGGTCATTTCCTTTGGGTATTGCATTTAAGAAATCGGACCTCATTTCTGAATTTTACAACAAATTATTCAAAAATATTAGAAATATAACTCAAGTTGTGTACCTATCATAAAAATTATTCACTTTTTTGGAATTATTTTTCATTTTATCTGTATTGACTATGACACGCTACAACAAAAACAGTTTTTAGTAGCAATAATATGCATATTAACAAAGAATTTAATTTTTTTTAGCAGAATTAATTAATTGTCATTGAATCAAATGTCGTTACGTATGTTCGTATGAACTAACCTCGCAGGGATGCATTCAGACATGCTGATCCTTTCCCCTCATCAATGGTTGTATATTTCTCGTCTCCTAAAGTATATTGTGTCTGCAAAAGTACATGATAAATGTTACTAATTAGTAATGAGAAGACATTAATTTAATTAAATAATACTACCTCTATCCATTTTTAATTATCATGTTGCGCTTTTCGAAAGTTAATTTGACTAATTTTTAAAGTTAAATTAGATTACATTAATTCGATATTTTAAATAATAAAAAAAATACGAAACGTATTATAAATTACCTTTTTTTGTATATCAATATGATGAAAAAATATGTCTTAAAATATTAGTCAAAGTTCGTATAGTTTGACTCTAAAAAAGAAAACATGACAAATAAAAGTGGACAGAGAAAATAAATATTACTAAAATTAGTAATAATACCAGTTACCTACCTCAATATTATCAAATGCTGACATGTAAAGAAAAAATGGGGTCTTAGTATATTCTTGAATGTTCTCTGCGTAGAGGCACTGCAAAAAATTGGAAAAATAGTAATAATATTAATTTTATAATGTTAAATCATGAGATAAAATCATATATACAAACATCTAATTAGGGAACAGGTTGTACCAATTCTGCTTTCATTTTTGAAGTGCATGATTTTGGTAACGTTTTGGCAGCTCCCTGCAATACACATAAAGATATTTTTCATTTTTAGGAAACAATAACCTCTATTTCGAAGAATATTAATTAATTAAAAAGAAAATAGAGTCATATAAACAGTCTGAATAGTAGTGTATACTTGTAAAGCAGCAACTCCTCCAAATCTCCATGACCAAAATCTTTCGAGCACAGGATTCTTACTGTTATGAAAAAAATATATAGCTATTCAAAGTCGGAATAAATAATAATTCTATAATTAATTTCATATTTTCTAGTAACGTAAATAATAATTGAAGTCTTACAAATGAACAAAGTAGCCAGAATCAACCAAACATTTCACTCTAGATTTAATTGGCAATGAATCACGGAAATAATCACAATATAATATTGCTGGATATCCTCCTGCAGAACTGCCAGCTAGGATAGCCTATAAAAATAAAATAATATATAAGTAATTTTCTTAAAAGATACTAAAAATTAATTTTATAAATAAAAGTTACATATTTATTTGTATAGAACAAGAGCTGAAAAAAATAACAAGCAATAGAATAATTTCTTGATCAATATATAAAATTTACTTACATTTTTGGCATTCTTTAGTCCTTTTTCTAGCACCTCCTCAAGTACTGCATAAAAAATCTTTTGCCCTCTAAACTGAAGATTCTTAGTCTAAACAAACAAAGAAAAAACATGTAAGGACTGATAATCCATTTTCAACAAATATAATTATTTTTGAGGTATAATACATAAATATGTCATTTGAATTTGATTTCAGCTGAGATCTTATACCCTCCAATTTTGAGAATGCACATGTAGGCACTCAAAATTATATAAAAGTTGAATAAATAGACACACATGTCCTACGTGACATAATACATGTAGGATGCCAAGTAGAATGTGTGTGCTTACTTGTTTAAGTCTTTATACGTTTAAGTGTCTACTTGTGCATATTCAAATTTACAGGATATAGATACAAACTCAAATCAAATTAAAAAACACATTTTTATATTATATTTATTTTAACTTGAAATTTAGAATTAAAACATACTGAATTATTAGTTGGATCAATGTATTCAGAATCTCCTATGAACGATCCACCATCGCAGTATGCAACAAGTACTTTGTTCCAATTATAAAAATCTGCATATTTTACATAAGATTACAATCATATATATATATATATATATATAGGACACATGATAATTCAACAACAATAATTTGATCATGTGAGATAAAATCACAGTATAAGATAAAATAAAATTTTTGTTTAAACATGAAATTTAGATTTTTGGTTCATAAACATAAAACTTCATAAGCGAAAGTCCGTAACAAAAGTATAATATCACAAAAATTATTCTTAAAAAATGTACAAGATTTTAAAATCAAATTTTAATTCGATAAAAACATAATTGAGCATGAATTGTAGTATACTATTTTTTGGTTGGTAATAATAAATAAAGTAGGCGTTAATTTGAATTAATAGTAATTTTGGTTGGAAATAGTAATGGTATATCAGATATAAATAGTTTAAAGGTTGATAAGAGTAATGATATCAACTAAATAAATTTTGTTCACATATGAAATAAATAGTTGATAGATAAAAATGATGAATCTTTTTTTTTTTTACAAAATATAAACTTGTGAGACAATTTTGTATTTTAAAAAAGTGAAATCATGATATTGAATTTCCAAATCAAGTTTTTTTTTTTTTAAATTAAAATTCCATCACATGATTTGAAGATGAAACTATACAAACGCTGATTTCATATCATGAAATGAAATCGTACCTGGATTTTGACTCTCATTCTTGCTGTGAATTCCTTGAAAATCTAGTTGAGCCATTTTTTTTGATGAACCATTTGAGGTCGTGGCACGGTCTTGGCAGTTTGTGACATTCATACACCATGCTCCTCCCTATGAACAAAGTTATTTAATAAATTTTTGAAATAATATTAATAAGCGTTTGTTCATGAAATTTTTTTATTTTTTTTTTGTAATTGAACAGAAAACATATTTTTGCCATAAAATTTCAGAATTGAAAAAACAACAAAAATGTTTTGCTTCAAATTTCATAACAAAAAAATATATATATACGAAACTCGTTTAAATAAAAAATATTTTTTTCCAAATTTCATAACAACTTACGGATAGATGGACAATCCAATTTTCAGCTCCATCTCCAAATCCTGGTTCAAAATAGTATGCTGGAGGTGATCCATCCAAGCACACTACCAAATAAATAATGTTAATTTTAGATTTATTGATTTTTTAATTTAAAGTTTATAATTTTACATATTTAGTGAAAATATTAATTTACCTGCTCCTTTTGACACAGCACTATGAACTATTGTTGGATTGACACTATATTTATTTGGGTTTTGTGTTGCATTTGCACATTTAATTGTGATGATGGTCAAACAGCAAACAAGTAAGACAACAAGTTGAAGAGATTTTGTAACCATCATCATCCTGTAAAACATAAAATAAAATTTAAAAAAAGGGATGAAATTTTGAATAAGAACATATAAAGAATGCAAATGGATAGATAGAAAAAAATATATTATAAAGATGTACATACTTTATTAAAATATATATGTTGCAAAAGATGTATTGAACCTGATTAAACGAACTTCAGGACGTTCTATATATAGAGGAGGATGGCGGAAAATTAGGACTTAAAATAGAAGACCACAACACTAGAACCATACACATGTTTGAATATTTTTAAATTTTGTTTTCCTTGAGACATAAAGATTTATATGGCCATACACAATTATAGTTGCACAAAATGAGAGGTCATGTGGTTATTATAATGTGTGCTTGTTGTCCAAGGGTAAAATCAACATTTGAGTTCAATTTTAAAAAAAATAATTCAACCCCTCATTTTTAGTATTCATGTCCAATGTATGATTTGAGTCATTTTATAAATTAATTTTACCATTTGTTACACTAGTAAGTAGATGTGACGATAAATTTAACTTACAGATGATACGTAATTTGATGAAAATAATGTTTATGGACGATAAATGAAGCTAAGCCTCATGTGATAGGAGATCTAATAAAACATATTTTTTTCTTTTAATTCTCCCAATTAAATTTGTACATGATTAATGGAATTTGATCTCTTACCAAGTGTTCATGAAATTCTTTGTATGCATTATATTGTGCCTTCAGCAAAAGCGATACCGGTTGCAGCAATCGGGTCACAAAGACGTGCCATATCATTTTGTCTATACCTAATTTTATATTATATATATAGTGTTTCTTTAGTTTACTTAGTTCAATTATAGAATACAAATGAACTTCAAACTTCTCAAATGTAAATCCAATTTTCAAAGACCATTTCATACAAAAAGAATTTCAAAATTCTTGGGCTCACTTCAAATTTGGCTTAAGGCCCAAAGTATGTTTCAAGAACAAGAATCAAGTTTCAAAAATGTGTAAAAGGCTAAATTTTAGCCCAAGAATTGTGAAATGACTTTGAAGATTGATTGTATCTTCTCAAAGTTGTTGAACAAAAATCCAAATAATTATGCTCATGGTATTAGTAATGCAAAAGTTTTAATACACACATTAACATGATTACAGATATAATTGCCTTTAAAAATCTTTTTCACCATATTTGTGAGAGGTATGTTACATACTTGTGAGTTTTCACTAGGATATTTTTATAAGCAAAAAAAATTTCTTTAGAAATTATGCAATGCATGTTATTCTTAACAAGAAAAATCATATTAAAAAGGATAAACTACATAACTACACATACATCACTACCATATATACTATATTTACCTCTAGTTTAAAACAATTACATATATTATCACTTTTAATATTTATACCATATATTTTAAAAGATTTAATCATATACACAAATCCCTTAAATAAGGAATTGAATAATTATCTTAAATCTAAACTCCTTAATTAATGGCCCATTAACAAGTCAAATTCTCTTTCTTTTTTTCACATCAACCGTTTCATCCATATCCTCACATCCGCCAACCCTCCTTCTTCCTTAATTCATCTTCTCCCTCCTTGTTCCTTCATCCTCTCAATACATGTTTGCATGTTCAAATCAACATTACACATATAGGTTTGTTTGTATTATTTTATTATTCTCACGTATTTTGATTTTGTATCTGAGTTAGAGTTCATAATGTTTTGAAGATCAATTTTAATTTTTTTTACAAATTAGGTTTTATATTTTTTATTTTGTTGTTTCTCAAACACTTCTGTGGTTGAACATTCCCAAAATTAAATCGGACGATTCTCGTTAAAGGTGCTACACATTAACAATACTATACTAAATCATACTAAATCAAACAACTTTTATTTGTTCATTTTCACTCATGAATTTCTCATTGTAGGGACTGACTTTTCATCCGCCAATATTCAAGTCGATAATATATCTAAGTATAGGAACGACCCAATCAAGATATAAGAATTATGTCAAACTTTAATTAACAGAAAAAATACACCATTAGATGCACATCAAGTGCAACAATGTTGGATACACATCAGGTGTACATGTATCTAGTTAAGAGTTCATGTATTTAAATTAAGATTATATGTATCTATGAAAAAAAAAATCAGATCCTTTAAAAAAGGGAGAATTTTGAATTTTTTAACTTTTTTTTTAGATTATATTAATGATAAGACAAATACTCCACAGTCGTGATTTGTTCCTAAATTCGTGTGTTTCAATTGCATTTCATATTTAGATACACATAATTATATGTGTGTTTACTATATATCTGAGATACATGATTTTGAATATAATGTATGCAATTGATACTTGATACATCGAATTAATAATAGATACATATAAAAGATACATGAAATTAAAATTAGATCATACAAATAGATACATGAAATTAATATTATATTATATAAATAGATACATGAAATTAATACTAGACACATATAACAAATACACAAAATTAATATTAGATATTTTTATGATACATATGAATGTACTTGTATGATACTCGTGTATCTAAGTGTTTTGTTTGTTGGATACATCATATATTGATAATAGATACATCAAATTAATGAATTTTATTATTTTAAGAGTAATAAAATGAAATTAATCAAATTGCATGACCAAGATATACATGTTTTTATCTTTTATTAATAATATTAATGAATTTATTATTTCAAATAATAATAAAATGAAATTAATTAATAAAATGAAATTAATTAAACATAGATAAACTCCTTGATTTCTACCTTATACTAAGGAAATCAGTTACAACCAATTAATTTAAACAAATAAAATACGTATCTCGATTTTAAAATTCGACAGATACATGTATCTCACGGATTCAAACTCATGTATCCTAAGTATGAAATATTGTAGATGAAGTAATATTTAAAATATCGGGAATCTGAGTAATAGGACCTAAACTAGTGGGATTTATTTAATGTGTTTAAGACCCTACTTTACAATGCATGAATCTGTTTTTTTAATTACAAAATATAGTTTTTTAAATTATAAAACACATTAATTTGAGTTGGCCATTTTTTTGGGTTTTGGTGCAAATATTTTGGGAGTCCAAATTTATTACTCTCATATCTCAGTTTATACGACTCACTTTCTTTATTAGTCGGTCTAAAAAAATGACATATATCTATATTTAGCAACAATTTATTAACTTTTTAAATGTATGTTTCTCTAAGACAATCATCTATGACTTATTTTAGATGACTATAAGTTACAAAAGTCTTTATTTTTTTCTTAAACTTCTTGCCAAGTCAATTTACACCGCATAGATTGAAACTAGAAAAAAATCTAATTTTTTGAATGCAACAACCAAAAATTCAAGTGTCTAGATTCTCTTAACCTTTACATCCCATCATAGCATATATATATATATATATATATATATATATAACCACAAGGGATTTGTAGGGGGGTCACACATAATGTTCAATTCCACAATGAGGGAAATAGAGAATAGATAGGGGGAGGTTAATTAGTAGGGGCCAAAAAGTTTAGTTGAACAATGAATAGAATTATGCAATTTGTCTTACTAGTACTCTTTATGGGGGGTTTTTTGAGACATGATGACATTTGCTCTTTTATGTTTGGGCTTAGAAAGTTGGCAATAAGTGGAGCCTTAATTCTTTTATTTTTTTCAACCAACAGTTTACCTATTGTTAATTAATAATTCAAGGAGTTGTCTAGAGACTTGAATTATTTCCAACAATATATACCACTAATTGAACTACTATTTAACTATTCAGACAAAAAAAAAGTAAGAAAGAAGAAAGAATTATTATCCATATGTGTCTCCGTACTTTGAATTCCGCAATCAAGACATTTCAAATCATATTTATTTGATGTACGTATCGTACCTGATCTTAGATAGAAGGTTATGGAGGATATGTATTAGGATAGGAGATTAGCTAGTTAGTTGAGCTTTGTCTCGCTTATTCCTCTTTACTATCATCCGTACTATCAGTTGTTTAATTGCTCTTGTAGTTTCTTTGTTGTTTTATACTTTGATTATCGCTGTATCTGTTTATGACTATTGTTTAGGATGATTTGTCAGATTATCTGTTCTATTTTGCTATGATTGTCTTCATTTCCATCATGTCTTTGTCTATAATTCTTTGAATTGTTTTTTTCTTGAGCAGAGGGTTTATAAAAAATAACCCCTCTACCTCTAAGATAATAATAAGATCTGCGTACACTCTAATATCCTTCTCATGTCCTATTTTATAGAATTACACACTTGATATATTATTGTTGTACCAAAGTAAATTTCTACCAAATTGTATTATTTAGTAAGTATTTTTGGTGAATTAAGTGGTGTTGAATAACATTGCTTGGTGGCAAAATGTTTGGGCCTCCAAATATGGCAAACCATTTAAGCCAACACAAAAGAAACACACAGTGTCATGAGACATATCTGCCTATTTTTGTCTGACATTTATTTGGCAACTTTATTTTTTCTTAGTTTCAAGTTCAACTTCTGCATGAATATGTTCCCCACATTGCATGGTCCATTGCCTATTTCCAAATATCCATCTCTTTCCTACACTAATTTTTCAAGAACAAAATGAACTTAAATAAAGCATTGCCATGCACAAAATTAAAAATCATTAAAACAAAAGTTAGCACAAGTATCCCCCCACCCACTCCCTTGATTTTATTATTTTTTGTTTCGTCTTTTCAGGGCGGAGTTGATTGCTGATTTAGCTGAACTCATTAATTTTCATTCAAACCTAATTTTTGTATTGAAAAATTCATTCAATATGATCAATTTAGAACCAATAACTTTACGAATCTCGAATTTTTAACCATAAACTTTAAATTCTGACTCCGTCTTTATCGAGTCTTCCTTGCTACTTCAATCATCCTGTGCAAAAAGCCTTATTTTTAAAGTACTTTGATGGTCTAGGGGTGTTTACTTTCCCAATGGACCCACTAGCCATCCTAAAGGGGAGACATGAAATATGGGCTAAAAGGTTTTATCTCTATGAACCAATTAATTTGGATTGGTCTTAAATTCTATTGGCCAACATCTTTAGCCTACAGTTCATCATGGATTAGAGAGCACAAATTAGATTTTACATGAAAAGT